TGCAGTTTCAAGCGTAGAGAGTCTTGGATATCATATGGTGTGGAATTAAATGTCTGTATCACTTGATGGCCACAGGTTGAGTATGGCAATGACTGACCGCGCTGTTGCCAGCTTGATGCTGACGGTGCTGATTTTGGTACTTGTCACGACAGTTGACTGTAAAATGATGATGAGTTCGCGGATTAAACTATACCTACAGCCACCTTTCTCAGCTATCAGTTAGTCAGTGTAAAAAATCTTACGCCTCTCCTTATTTTGACTCTGTAATGCTGGAAGACAGTATAGAAAGTCTTATTCATGTATAGAGAGAAAGAAACCGGACCACGCAGCATTAGAGATTGATATATTACAAGAAAAATACCTCACTCACCTAGCAGCTTATTAAAGATTGTAAGACAAATAACCCAATAACTATATACTCTTAATATTACAATTGAAGTAAAACAGAATCTTCGTCAAAACGATCACTCTAAGAAACCGAACGTAGAAATTAGGTAAATGCGCACCTCCTGCAAAATAGATATTTCAAAGTTAAGCCGCGGCATCGAAGGTAGCCTATGTTCTGATAATGATAATGAATTTATTTTCCATTAGACATGCATGGACATGTATAGGTATGTTCTATTTCAGATTATAATGTATTTCTCTACTAAATTTCATCAGACATTTTGGCGTGGTTGAGTAGCAAGCATCCACACTTTCTCATATATAATATTGTTTAGGGGCTAATAATAGTTTGAAATCTGGGATGGAGAAAAATCGTTAAAACCACACTTAGAAGCCGAGTGGAGCATGAATAATAAAAAATTAAGACTATAATTGATGGGTCCGATGTCCAAAAAATGTCGTGGAAACGCGAAAAATCATTTTGATGTAAAATTTTTAGTTACCGACAGTTTTTGTACTTGTGAATTGCATATAGTTGTGCTGCATTATTTTTTAAATATTTAAATCTGTGGAAAGAAATAAATGAGCTATGAGGGAAGGAGTAATGGACTTGACTGGTTGATGCATAGTTTTTTGATTTTTGAAGGGATACAGTTAAAACAGGACAAACTTTGACTAAAAAAATGTGATTTTTTGTCAAGTTACTGAATGAAATAAACTTATACTTGGTTTGATTCAACTTTTGATACAAACTCAAAATATTTTTATTCATTCATCTTCACTAAATTCTAAAGCAGAAGTTTTTCATCATCTGGCGAAAAGCTGTCTTGGTATTTTCTGATTTCTTCATAGGGCCACTGATCACATTGAGGAACAGAGTTTTCTTTACTTTCTTCTTCTTTCTTATTAGCAGTATTTGGTAGTGTCAGGAGCTGCACATTCCTCTTATCTCGGATTTCAAAAATATTAAACTGAAACAAACAGACTGTTTCACTACATTTGAATAATATTTCTGATCTAGCTTTCATAGCGGATGATTCGATATTTTGAAATCGTAAAGTGTTTGTACTTTCTTGAAGGATTCGTTAGAAACAGCTGTTGTAAATGGGCCTTGAAATTTAAAAATATATGCTGCGCTACATAGATGACTTTGAAGTGTTTCTTTCTATTTTCAATAATATGGCAAATATATTACATTTCTGTAGCTCCAAAGCTCATATCGCCTGGAAGGTGTCCGGGTTCGTGGAAGGTGTGCTGTTCATGCACTGGAAGGTTTAGAATTCAAAACCATGCAAGGGTATAAACCCAACCCACTTTGCACAAGAAATGGAAGTGGCCGGTTTATGCATTGGACCCCTCAATTCTTATTAGTGCTTAATACGGTAAACCTGGTGTTTTAGGACTAAGTTTATGTTATCTACTATACTAAGTGACATACAAATCCGAACACCCAGTTTAAATGGTTTTATTTTAATAAAATTTTGTATAAGTACTTAATGAAGCATAATAAGTAAATGATAAAAATTTCAAAATGATTGCACTGCTTTAAAGTCCTTTGACCGTTAATAATGTGTGGATGCACCCTGATGTGCTACGCATTCTCCAACGTGCCTAGGCATGCTTCTGATCAGGTGGTCAATGTCCTCCTGTGGTATCTCATTTCAGGCAACCACCAACTCCTCTCGAAGTGCTGCTAGAGTCTGAGGAGGACGTTGCAAATTGAGCAATCTCCTACCCATCATATCCCACACGTGCTCAATTGGAGATAAGTCGGTAGATCTTGGTGGCAATGGTAACAATGTGACATCATTATGTTGAAAGAAGTCTATTGTGACTCTTGCAACATGTGGTCTGGCATTATCTTGTTGGAAAGTTGGATCTGCCAGGGTGTCAAGATAGGGTAAAAGATGGGGTTCTAGAACTTCGTGGATATAACGCTGCGGGTTCATGTTACCTCTGATGAAGATTAAAGGTGACCTGGAACCATAAGCTGTAGCACCCCAAACCATAACTACAACAGTGTGATGAACATGTCTTTCAACAAAAAACTGTGGAGTCCTCCTTTCACCACGTCGCCTTCTAACCCTGGCACGACCATCGTGCATGCCTAAACAAAATCGAGTCTCGTCACTAAAGACAATACTGTTCCATTCCTGATCCCAGAGTGACCGTTGTCTGCACCACTCAAGGCGATTACGTCGGTGTTCTCGAGTTAAAGGGAGGACCCAGTGTGGCCGGTATGAAAACAAGCCAAAACTTCTCATTCGTCGGTAAACACTTCGCATACCAATAGGTCTTCCGTGTTCTGCAAACCATTCATTTGCAATGGACCTGGTAGTGGAGAAACGGTCCCTTAAGGTCAATAATCTTAGGCGGCGATCTTCACGGTCTGTTGTTCTACGGCGGCGTCCAGTGCCCCTTGCTCTTTGCGTACGGCCTTCTCGAAGCCATGCCTGACAACACCTAACCACAGTGTCTACACTTCTTTGCACTCTAACTGCAATTGCCCGAAAAGAATGTCCAGCTTCCCGAAGTCCCACTATACGGTCCCTATCAAACTCACTAAGTTGACGAAATCGTACAGGTCTCCGTACTCTAGGCATCGTAACCGATCGTAAAGGATGTCAAGAACCAAAATCCGCCAACGTTGATTCTTTACTGCGGCTGAAATATTCATTTTTAGAGCGTTAATGAATTAAAAAAAAAACAGTATAAAAACCGGAATGTCCAACTGATAAGGCTGAAAATTTTTTGACTTGTTATTTACAGTAAGATAAATGCATTCACCAACTTTTATTAAAATAAAGCCTTTTAAACTGGGTGTTCGGATTTATATGTCACTTAGTATATTATTGCTGCAAAAGTTAGTATCAATGATCTTATTCATTAAAATACTTTTGTGATTTTTTACATAAAGTCCTAGACGTGTGAAAAATGTTCGCACATGCTTCTAAAATAGGTTAGGTTTCAGTGTATACTGAAGTATGTTTAGTTTCCTGCGTAAAATCTAAGATTTAATCAGCATTTCTTATTTAAGACAGTATAACCAGAAGTGAAAATGTTTGAGTTGAACTGCTCCTACTGATTTTCTAAATTGTGAGACGTATACTTTACAATCAGTCGATCATTGCAGTTTTTCTTGACGCATTACCTGAAAAATCTAAAACGAGCTCGCCAGAGGACCACTTTTTCCGGCTCTTATCTACTTCTAAACCATTTTGTGCCAGTCAGTGTGCTTGGGTGGTGAGGCTGGGATTGAGCTTTTCATTGAAAATCAATGGAGCTAGCAAAACAAGGATGTTGACCATTTTTTACCTTCTTAAACCAAACGACGCACACTATATCTCGTGTGACACCCTGGGAATTCGTCAACAAGTAGTTAGTACTAGCTTGAAGAATTTCTCTGACATGTATGCTAATGAAACTCGTTAATTCATTTGTTCACGTGTGGCTCGAAGCTTCTTCCCATAGCCAACTAATTACCCTACACTAATAATTTGATTCGCATTGTGCTAGAAAAAATACGCTTGGCGGCATAACACAGATGTTCCTGGCATGAAGGAAATTTTTCTTTCGCTGTGTAGATTTTATCTTGATTTTGTTCCGTGGTCGTGAGATAATCTATGAGCAAAGAGAGTCAAAAAAAAATCCTTTGTGAATGCGTTTGCTGTAGGTATCCTAAGTTACATGAAAGATTGGTCCAACGTATATTATCTTCCGTATATATTTTATTGATCTTGCGTTGCGTTCACCATTACGCATAATTGTAGCTGCGACTGCCACTTCATTAGGCTCGGTACACACAGTTACTAAACTCCAGAAATGTCAACCATTCAAAATGAAAATATTGCAAGGGTTAACCGAAGATGACTTCGTTAGGTGCGTTGAGTTTTGTTTTGATGAATGCACATTTTATCTAAATGGATTTGTTAATAAGCATAAATGGAGATATTGGAGCAATGTAAATTCTCATGCTTGAATATGTTGGAAAATACCACCAATTTGCTTATAACTGAAATCATCGAAGAACGAATCGAAGAAAATGAAAACCCTATTCTTGATGAGGCTGAAGATATTTCCAGCAATCCTCACTACGTTTGTTTTTCCGGTTCGGCAACGACCAGACTACGAGTTTCCAGATAAATTGATAGGGCGAAGAGGGGATATAGAATGGCCTGCTAGATCTTCTGATTTGACGCAATAAGACTTTTTTCAATGGGCTCGTTTGAAATCTATTGTGTTTACTGAGAGTTTAGATGAACTTCGTCAACGCATCATCGAAAGCTGCCATGATATTGCACAACAATTATTATGTAGGTACATACCTATAAAATTCCATTTCATATTTAATTTCGTTCATTTATTACAAATAATTGTGTGATAACCTCAAGGTCTGTGAGAAATTTGCAGGAAGGAATCGGTTGAAGTTAAAAAAACGTTTTTTTGTAGTTAGAATTTAAAAATATTAAAACCTCAACTAATATTATGTACCTACCTATAAAACTCCCATTTCATATTTAATTTCGTTTATTTATTAGAAGTTATTCTGTCATAACCTCGAAGCCTGTGAGAAATTTACAGGAATGAATCGGTTGAAGTTAGAGAAAGACTGTTGTATTTGTTTCTATTCTAATTTTTATAGAAGCTATGAAACATTGTAAACATAAATGCTCCATTACTTTCAGATTATGTCTATGGTCAGTTCACGAACAAAAAGGATTTTGGCGGCTCTTAGCCAAAATGATAATCGAATAATGCTTATTTTGAGGAAGAAATCGGGTCTATGCCGATATCCATTATTTCAAGTGACAATATTTTTGATCTAGATAGTTCCGAAAATATTTTAAAAACTACTTTAGTAAATGAAGACGTAATCGAAATAGATCAATCAATTTTATTGTCTTCTAACAATTCGAGTCCTTATGAAAATGATGGTAACCATACTATGCAAGAAGAACTAAATGTACCAATAAGTACTGATAGCTCAAATGGGACAGTGGGTGTTAAATTTGAACAGGAATGCGATGTACAAGAGTATTTTCTGCCGTTAGTTAATTACATGTCATACCTGCCAGGTTTCACGATGAATTCTTTAAATTAAAATGTAAGTCTTCTCTTCCAGATGAGTTAGCAGAAACTGATGCAATGAAGATGAAAGCTGAAAAACTTAAAAAAATATATATTTTTTACTAGTAAGAATTTCATATTTTCTTTTGTAACGTAATTTTGTGTTTTTTTTTTTAATAATAAACGATAGTTTTTAATTCTTTCCAAAATACTTTAACTGCTACAATTTGCCGCCAAACTGACGTATCTGTGTAATTACGTTACACTTTTGATCAAGACTTCGAGATTTCTGAACCCGTAAAGTAACATAAGTATCAATTAACCACTAAAACTATAGAAAAACTTCAAAAAACATTTTTCTTAATTAAATATAGACCTCAGAGAAACACCCTGGTAAATTCTGCACAATTTAAAAAAGTTTAACCAGGTTAAATTAAAAACACGTTCTTTCTCCGAAATCGTTTTTGGTGACTTACGTTACTTTGGCAAATACGTATCGATATGGGTTAAGATTGTAATATTTTTGAATTCTAACTATAAAAAAATGTCGTTTACTTACCTAAAATCAATAATTAGTCGATGGTAGCACGAACCTAACACTGTCGTAAGCCAAACACTGACTGCGAAAATCTGACGTAAGTCGCAGAAACCGACAGGGACTTACGTTATGATGGCGGTAAAAAACCTTAGCTTGAATTACTATGATGGAAATAGTGTTGATTTTACGGATATGATTTAAAAAATTCTGGACATACGTTTTCAAAAAAAGTTAAAAGCAAAGGTTTAAAGTAAAATCTAGGCTTCCTACACCTTGGCAGTACCTTCTCAGCAATAAAAGCCTTACGTTAATGGAAAAACATGATTTTCACCAAAAATGTCACTTACGTTACTTTGGCAAAAATGCATCGACATGTTTTTGAAAATGTCCGTCCTATGTGATTATTTGGCCAACAACGAGAAACATTTTGTACACTTATTGAGATAAAAAGTGATATTTACGTGTGTTTTGTTTTCTATCTGAACAAATTAAGATAAATATTTTTCTAATTTTCTTGAAAACGAGTCGACCGATCTTAAAAAATCAAACGTCAAAATAAAAGACTCCGAAAGACCTTTCAAACAAGCTGTTACTCGATACCCCTTGTCATTCAAAATATTTAAGGGGATGACCCTGGGGGGCAAAGGAGGTGAAGTAGTTTTCGGTTAAAAAGATGTCCCCCTTGACAAATCTTTTGACTTGTCTCGGCGTTTTTTCTTTTAATCAGTGGTTTTCGATAAATCCGTGGTGGGAGGTTATCAAATGAACACCCTGTATAATAATACAAACATACTAAAGATAAATCAAAACGATCGCGAAGAACAGACCAGTGCGGCGACAGTTTGTTCCTCAATTGATGCGATACCTATTCTTTGTTTAGTTTAGTTTTTGTAGATGAAGAAGCAGGTCATCTTTGTTTTTTTTTTCACCCCATGTGTTGGAAAAAACGTATCTGATATTCGTATATAGAAAGAAAGAGAGAATCAGGCAATATTGAAATAACAAGCATGTTCGTACAAACTAAACAATACATCCATATCTTTAAACGCCAGTTGCTTCCTCATTCACTCATTCAATTTCAAATAGGAAGTATACCAGCTTGCGATAGCTAAAATGTATATCACGCCGAAGCAATAAACTGCAGCCCAGAGATCTTTCGACTTCTTTTCCGCGGAATGACCGCGCTCGACTAGTCTTCCACATGAATTTATAGATTATGGCGCAGTAGTTGTATTTCATTTGTTATGTTTTACTGTCTTGCCCCTAGGGGCCAATCTAAATAGAACATCTTTAGTGCAGAAGTGTGCTCAACACTTGACCAGCCGCATGCTCCGTTCGAAGGAGTTATCTTGGCTTTGTGTACCGCTAGTTGTGTATGGGTTATACAGTACGTTTCCAAAAGTTCCTCGCCATTCGGTGACAGATATGAAGTCAACGGAGTCCGAGACAAAAACCGTTTGGGGGCCCCCAAAGGGGCGACAATACGGCAGCGGTCCCCTAATGCCTCTGATGGTGAAAATTGGAGAGCGAGGGGGCACAGTGGTCTAGGTGATAGAAAACCGAGGTTTTTTTTTTGCTCCGGGTCGGTACGGAGTGAGTCAAGAGGCTAGTTTAGGATAATTCGGTTTTATTCTCCCTGAAAAATGCTTCGTCTCAAGTATTTGCGCATAATGCTGTGCCTGACAAACTACTAGACAATGCAGTAAGTATGTAAGAAAATTTATGGTTTAGCTGAACTTTGTTGAAATAGCAGTTATTATTGAATTAGTAATATTTCATAAACATTCAATTACTACCCAAATCTTACATGAGGAGTTACGAGAGTCGCTCCGTTTTGACATCAAAATACTTGATTCTCTGCAATTTCACCAGTGAATCTAATAAACAGGTCCTCCATGGTAGCAACCCGAAATATTTTACGGGCTCTGTGCCCTCTGTAAACTGTAAACTCCCACAAAAAGTACTCATGACCCTAAAATTCGTTAAATACTAAGAGACGGTCAAGATCAAGTCACAATTGTTACGATATTGTATGACAACAACGGAGATAATGAAAATACTTTACATCATGGACCTCATCAGAACAAAATCCTAGTGGAGATTTGGACTGGGAATTATATCTGCGCCATAAATGAGAGTAAGATGCACATCGCACGGCATATGGTATTTAATGGTACTCCTTCTCAAAACGATTTCCAGTTTCTAATGACTACCTGAAAGGCACGCAGCGCGTAGTATGCTTCAATATTGTGAAGGAACCGGCTGAATCTAGTGACTAAACTTGCCTTGTGCAAAAAAAATGTTCGGGATTATCTTACAATGCATGGATTATTGAAGGTCGATGAAGACAGCTTTATAAAATATGTAGATAGCGAGCGCGGTGATCTTTCAGACTATTGCGTATTATATTTACGAAATGCTGGATTTAATGTATAGACAACTTAAGCCTTCCATCACTGAGAGATGTTCATAACATATCTATCAATGATTTTGCTTACTGTCACAGCATACGGTACAAAGCGGTCCGCTCAACATTGACAGCTTTCCGACCATGATCTTCAAATCTTCAGCCGCCACTTCCAAGATAGTATTCATGAACAAAAAAAAGTGGGGAACCTTTTTGAAAACTACTGTATACGCTACGGGTTTATTCGCGGATGAATGAGCCGGCTACAAAGTGCCTTATGTGTAGAGTGTGCAGCAATTATCTTTTGTTTTGAACGTTGCAATTATTCTCGCTACCTTGTGTGTATACTGTTTAGAAATACAGCGACAGAAAATATCCAAAATACTTTTTGTCAGCAAAGTGGAATAGATACCACTACGGAAATACGTATAGTCACGTAAAGAGATCTGAAACCAACTATTTCTTTCAAAACGTAACAACTGCTCCATCTTAATTTTAATGGTAGTAAACCATCAGATCTTTTGGCATAATTTTCCTGACATTTCGTCTTCATAATGCGTTTTGGCAATAGAGTAAATAATTGATACTAAAAGCTAGATTCCAAAACCAATATCACATCGTTGTCCACGGTGGTCTTACCCTTCTACAACCATCGGACGCACCTAGACAGAATCGCGATTCGCCGCTGAAGATGAAATTATGTGATTCGGCCTCCCAATGTTGCCGTTCTCTGCTCCAGTTCAAACGTTGACGTCAGTGGTCTACAATCAGAGGAAGCACTAACTGTGAACGATATAAAAAAAGTCCAAAGCAACAGGTCTACCTTTTTCTCCAAACCGATGGTCAGCGATCTGTCGCGTAGCAGCAAGACAGCCTCGTAAGGCTTGTAATCTGAAGCGCATATCTTGACGCTCTGTGGTACGCCTCGGAGGACCAGTTGGCCTTCTCCGTGCTCCTCTATATTCCCTTATCCACACACGACACACACGCATTACTGTTATTGCAGGACAATTAACACGGCGGCCAATCTCGCGATGGGCAATTCTACTCCTGTCAAAGTCGCTAAGATGACGTATTTGGCGTCTTTGAACTCTAGGCATTATGTTATGTTTAAGACTAGTAAATGAGAGCCCAATAACTAAAAATATCTATACTACTCAGCTCTCAGAAACTGCTTTTTTTTCACAAAAACTGAGATATAACATTTTAACAAAGGTAAACAAAAACGAAAATAAAACATTAACACCGTTGCCACAGCATGCTTTAAATATAGTCGTTATATTGCCAAAAAAACATGTTGGGGAGATTATTATTTTTTTCTGGGTGTAACACTGCTAATGTCACTGAGTATACAGGGTGGCCCATCCATGCGTGGACGGAATATTACTCATAAACAAATACATTTTGGGAAAACATATTTATGGCATGTTATACATGACACTTTAGGGCACATTGCCAAAATATTGGCAATTATACACGGTGTCCCAATTTCTACCTACAGATCAAAGTTGTAATTTTTCAAATGGAATACCTGAAATTTATTGCATATTTGGATAAACCAATTCAAAAGCAGAAAATTCATATACCATACTATGGGGTTTTGGTAATTAGCTACTGAGATATAAGGTGTTTTGTCTAGAAAAACCACCCATTTCGGCAAACCTCAGTCCATCATTTTGATATTTGGAGTGCTGAATTTTGTTTTAAAAAAACTTGCACACCCATACAGGGTACAGTAGTATTTCTCAAAACGTTCAAATGCATCAGTCTGCATATTTGTGCAAGTTTGGATTCGACTTTTTATAAGCTTTTTTTGATACTAGGCACATAAGGGTTTTTACGACTATTTTTTCGGCTATTAGCACGTGTTTTAGGGAACGGATTCATTCCCTAAAATATCGCATCATCCTTGGAAACAAATAAAGTGTTGATTAGTTACAAACTGTCAAAATTAGCTTTGTGAGCATTATAATAAAAACGTGTTTGAAAATGAATTTTTCTAAAGAAGAAATGGTGAATATGGTGTTCTTTTTGAGCAGAGTCCAAAGAAATAGTTTCCTAGCATATCGTATTTATAAGCAACCGAACCCTAATATGCGACATCCAAATCCGGAAACATTTTCCACACTACGAGAAGGTTTTCAATCAAGTGGAGCAGTTGAATATAGTAAAAAATGTATAGATAATCCAAGTATCACC